TTGTGTTCCCTCTCTCGCTGTGTCTCTCGCTGTCAAATAAATAAATAAAATCTTTAAAAAAAAAAAAAGATTTATTAATTTGAGAGAGAGAGTGAGAGTGTGCAAGTGGGGGGAGGGGCAGAGGGAAAGGGAGAGGGAAAGAAGGCCAAGCAGACTCCCTGCTGAGCACAGAGCCCAACGTGGGCTCCATCTCACCACCCTGAGATCATGACCTGAGCCGAAACCAAGCATTGGGCACTTAACTGACTGAGCCACCCAGGCGCCCCTAGACGTCATTGTCCATTTCCCTTTTTCTTAGCCCTGGCTATTAATCTACTTCGGTTTCTATGGATTTGATTAGTCTGGACATTTCCTATATATGGAATCCTATGATATGTGGCCTTTTGTGACCGATTTCTTCCATGTAGCATATATCAGTACTCCATTCGTTTTTATGGCCAACTACTGTTTCATTGTATGGATATATACTTCATTCTGCATATCCTTTCATCAGTTGGACATGCAGATTGTTTTCACTTTTTGGTCATTATGATACTGCTATGAACATTCATCTTAGCATGGATATAAGTTTCATTTTCCTGAGTATAGACCTAGGAGTAGAATTGCTGGATCACACGGTAATCTGTTGAACATTTTGAGGAACTGCTAAACACTTTCCCAAAGTGGCTGCTATACCGTTTCACAACCCCTCTAGCAATGGATGTGGGTCCCAGTTTCTCTAAATCCTCACCAACACTTATTTTTCCATGTTTTTTTAAATTAGAGCCTTCCTAGTGGGTGTGAAGTGGTATCTCATTGTGGTTTTGCCTTGCAATTCCCTGGTGACTAATGATGAGCATCTTCTAATGTGCTTAGTGGCCATTTGTACATCTTCCTTGGAGAAATCTCTATTCAAATCCTTTGCCCATCTTTAATGGGTTGTGTTTTTATTATTGAGTGTAAGAGTTCTTTATAATATTCTGAATACCAGTCTCCTTTCAGATATATGATTTGCAAATATTTTCTTCCATCCTGTGTGTTGTCATTTCACTGTCTTGATCGTGTCCTGTGAAGTACAAAAGTTTTTGATTTTGATAAAGTCTACTTACCTGTTCTTTGATTGTTGATGCTGTTGGTGTCATATCCTAATATACCATTGCCTAATCCAAGGTCACAGTGATTTACACCTTATATTTTCCTCTATGAATTTTTTTAGTGTTTGCTCTTACATTTAGGTCTATGATCCATTTGGGATTAATTTTTTATATGGTGTGAAGTAGGGGTCTAACTTCATTCTTTTGCATGTAGATATTCATTTGTTCCAACACCATTTGTTGAAAAGACTCTTCTTTCACCCATTGAATTGTCTGTGGCCCTTCTCAAGCTGGTCCTCTCTCAGTCCTGTGGCTTCATCTTCTGCCCCATCCCTTCTCCAGCTTGCACTCCATCTCCTGTCCCACTAAATGATTTGTGTTTTCCCAAATGAACCATGTCCTTTCTCACCTCTGGCCTACTTCTCGGCATGCTGTTTCTTTTACTGGAAAAAGCTCCCCGACCTTCTTCCCACATTACCTAGATATCTTCTCTAATTATCGTCAGGTCTAGGCTTAGATACCATATTTTCCAAGAAGCCTTTCCTAAGCCCCCAAGAATATTTTAGGAAGAGCAGGTCTGTGCTTCCAAAAGACCACGTACTTAACCCTGACAGGGGCTTTTTTTGTGTGCCTGGCACATAGTAGGCACCCAATAAGTATCTGAGGAATGAATGAATCCCAGAAGTCAAGGAAGAAGGCTGTTTCAAGAAGGAGCGCTAGTTAGTATTGTGTATTGCTGCAGAGTTTAGGGGAATGAGCTCTGAAAAAATGCAACTGGGTTTTGACTACTTTTGTCACTACAAATAGGGAAGAGTTTCAGTAGTATTGTGGATGTAGAAGCCAGTGGGGGAGTTAAGGAGTGAATTGCTGACGAGAAAGTGAAGTTTTAATTACAAACTACTTATGTCCAAGTTTGTTTGTGAGGAAAGGATAAAATAGAAGGGCACTAGGAAACAGCTTAAAGGGATAGAGTTAAGGGCTTAGTTTTACAGCTATCAGTCCATCTGCCGCTTTCCTGAATTTCAGAGAATTTGACTTCTAATGAGAGTCACTTTCTTGGCTTCTTATATCAATTTTAGGGACACCCCAGGATTTCCCCATTTACCCTCCTACTACCACATTACATCCCCCCCACCTCTGACTATGTGTCAACATGGGGGTGTGTATATGTACACACTCTGTGCTGATCCCAGCATCCCAAAAATCTAACCATTCTGGGATTGACCAAGGCCTTTCCCCAAGTTGGGTTAAGCTATATCTGCTCCCAGAAAAAGATATCCTATAAGAATCACTTGTCTGGGTAGAAAAAGGAAGGAACCGGTCTCTTAACATCATGGTGGCACCAAAGGAACCATAGAGTCTTCTCTCTCCGCCCCTCATTCCCTGACATCTCCCCTATGTCAGTCAGATAGGCTGGAATGGAATGGCTTCAAGACTTTAATTTTTTACACCGTTACTGATTTACCTCCAACTCCGAGCTGCTTCCATATCTTTGGCATTTTGCTCCCAGAGGTAAATATGCCTGATTATAAGACCGCCAACCTGATCAGCCTTCACCACCAGCCTTACACAGCTCACGTTGTGCCCCATCCTTTTCAGAAATATCTCCTGATTCATCTGCCCTTCGAAGAGCTGGCCCAGCAAGGTGAAGCTGGTACAGTATTGAGGCATTCCCTCGGGGTCGTAGCCCAGCTCCACTTGCCCCTTCTTCAGGGCGTACTTTCCATCCACGATGGTGCCTGTCAATACTTGCACTTTGCTCAAGTTCGCCGGATGGTTCAAAATGACTGTCAGGTGGTTCCCTGCACTAACATTGTGGGTCCAGAAGAATGACTCGTCCAGGGTGTAGGCTTCCCAGGGGAAATGAACATCAAAAACCTTCATATCCGTGAAAATGGCTCCAGGTGGGTTGTCAGGAACATAGGGGTTCTTTTTCTGAACTGGTGTGGCCTTCTGGGTGTCGTTAGAGATGTGGTAGGAGAACCTGTGGTAGAAAAGGAAAGGTCTGCAGATGATTGGGTTTTTCTGAGCTAGGAGGGTACGGAAGTGGGGGATCAGCCTGTCAAGGGGCTTCTCCTTGTAGAAAAGGATTAAGAAATGGGCCAGGAGTGGGAGGTCCTTGCTGTGGAAGAGTTTGCCAAGGGTGCCCATATTAGAGAACTCCAGTAGCACCCATGGGTTGGACCGCATGGTGTTCACCTTCCAATGAATGTGGGTGATAAAGTTGGGGGCAGAAAAGACATTGTCCTCCAGTAACAGGAAGTATTCAGAGAGCCTTGTGGCAAAGCTCATGAGGAAGGCATGATCTATATTCTGCTTAGAGTAGAATTCCCCATGATGGGCCTCCTTCCTCATGTCATCCACGGAGGGGTAGGCATCAGGCGGAGCATGGATCAGTAGCAGCTGCCCTGCCAAGATCTGTGGGCTGAAGAGGGTTGAAATATGGAGAACGGTTTCTCTGAGCCTGGTGAGGTCAGAATGTGCCAGGTGGACCAGCACCGTGAGACGTTTCTGTTCAATCTTAGAGGAAGCACGGAACAGAGAGACCAATGTGTACAAGAGGCTTCTTTGATCTGGTTGTGGCACTGAGGAGATGCCCACTGTCAGCCATGCTAAGGAGAGGCCAAAGAGGGACAATTGTCAGTGTACACTGGGTTGGTGGTAAAGGTGGTCAGAGGGCTAGGGGTTGGGATGCTCTCTGGGACCTTCTCTGTTTCTTTCTCTCCTCTCCTATTTCTATTCCCTGCTCTCTTTTGGTAGAGGGGATGCTTAGATAGTTGCAAATCAGAATGTGGTCCTTAGTCCAGTAACATCAGTCTCATCTGGAAGCTTATTAGAAATGCAGAATCTGGGTTCCTAGATAAACAGAATCTGCATTTTAACAGTATCACCAAGAACTTAATATGCATGTTTAAGTTTGAAAAGCACTAACCTAGGTGATACGGAGTCCCCGTGGGTCCCTTTGTGTCTTCTTTGAGCCAGAATTTTGTAGCACATGGTTTAGGTGCTCAGTAAGTATTAGCTAATATTATAGATATTATCATTCTTTTTGTTTTATCCAGTTCATCTTCCCAAAGCTCACCTTTAGGTGAGCGGAAAAGCAGTTCTTCATAAGTCAGGAAGCCCAGGTTCCTGTCCCAGTTCTGCCACTGACTGTGTGAACGTGGGCAAGTCCCTTCCCTCCTGAGCTTAGAGCCTGATCCACCAAACTGAGGGATTTGGACTATGACTCTAAGGCCCCTTCTAACCCAAATGTTCTCCAAACCAGCAATTCTGCTTTCCTGTAACAATTATCTTTTCCCTTCTTCTTCTTCATTCCTGATATATAAATGTCATGGTGGGGAGAGAATTGTCTGCCAGATTCAAATGTTCCTGGGCACAGTCCTGCCTTTTCTCTCTCCCTTCTTTCTTTCCTTCCTAACTACCTTACTTCCTAGGTAAGGTAGTTCCTACTTTCCCTAGGATCCCCCATTCTCCTCCTTGGAACTCACTTTTTCTTCTCTGCTGAATTGTTTTAAAATATTCGAAGGTAAGATTCTGCCAGTCTTCTAATGGTCTCGGGTCTTTCCTTTTGTCATAATTGTCCTCCTAGAGCATTGACAAAAGGCAAAACATGTACCTCCTTTCATAAAAAGAATAGGGTTTAGCCCCTAGAGGCTTCTCATAAGCTTTTCCAGAAAAGAGAGGGAATGGATCACCCTCCGCAGAGTGAGCCCAGCACATTCCCAGGATGTCTGACCACTGGCCAAAGTATGGAGGGCTCCAGCTCTCTTTGCTCTCTTCCTTACCTTAACAAATGTTGGGGGTGGGTGAGCAGCTTCTTTATGGACCGACGGGTCCAAGTTCATATCCCAACTCCCTTTGGAGCTTCCTGCTCTCAGGTGAAAAGGTACAGGTGCTTTGAGAAACTACCTGTTCACACCATTCCCACCCTACATCCTCAATTCCCACACGGAGAGCAAGGGTTGCTACCTGGCCTTTGATAGCCATCACGTTTTGATCATCTTCCATTTCCTCGGGGACTTTCAAAGTGATGAAGAGCCACAGGAATCCGATGCCCACAGACGTTATGAAGCAGCGCCTGACGGAACACCGCATGGTGTCTGTGGGGTGTGGTTCCTATAGCAAAAAGTCAACATGGACAGCAGCTGGGCACTCTCTCCATTTGTCCATGCCTAGAACTTCTTCGTCCTGTGGAAGCTTTCCCCCACACAATCCCCTATATTCTATCCTTCCTCCTCCTCATTGTTAACTTATTTCCAAAGCCTGCCTTTTTATCTGAGCTGGGAACCTGATGGAATATAATGGCCTTATTCCCTAACTAAAGAAAGAATATCACCTGTCCTGTGAATTCTGCTGCCTTCTCTTTATAGGTTTGTTTGGGGATTCAGCTTTCCCAAAGTTTTCCCTTCTCGAAATGATGAAGGTCAGCTGGGGCTTCAGTGATGAACCCTTTAATCTTGGAAAACAGATGCTACCACCTACCCTTGCTATTTTAAAAAGCAGTCAGCTTATTAAAATAGCTGAACTTGAAGTATTGCTAAATGCTAGGCAATTTGGTGCCTTTCTTACCTTTTAGTAAAGGATATCCTTAATTTATTCCCATCTTTAATCCTACTCACATACCTTGATTGGAACATGATTCTGTTAGAGTGAAAAAAAAATTCTTTTGTAAATGTTGGGCTTTGGACTTCAGGCTAATTCAGCCTCAAAAGCACTTGTCTACCACTTTCTTCCTCTGTTTCAGTGTCTTTTCTCCAGTGAGAATGTGTTTCCCTGATTGTTTCTAAATGATCAGAGGAAAGGCTTTAATATGCCTTGTCACCTGCTCTTGATTCTTTCCCTCTATGTTCAGTACACAAAAGAAAAGAAATGGTAGTCGGTAATTTCTGTGTTCTTGAGGCTGTAATACTCTCGAATCTCCCTGTTTTCTGGATCCTTGCCAGTGCAGGATTTCCACAGAGGTTAACATGCTTCTCTCCCTTAACTATTTAGCTTTTTGGTAAGAGTTTATTTTATTTTATTTTGCTTTATTTATTTATTTGACAGAGAGAGACAGCTAAAGCAGGAACCCAAGCAGGGGTAGGGGAGAGGGAGAAGCGGGCCTCCTGCCGAGCAGGGAGCCCGATGTGGGGCTCGATCCCAGGACCCTGGGATCATGACCTGAGCCGAAGGCAGACGCTTAACGACTGAGCCACCCAGGCACCCCTTTGGTAAGAGTTTAAATGTAAAACTTATACATGGTAGGAAGGCTTCACAGAGTAAACTTTTCTTACCTGGTTTCCTTAAGCCAGGACTTCAAGTCACTTAGGTGATTCAGATACAAACCACTTGATGTCAAAGAGATCGGCTTCTTTTCTCCAGAACGTAAATACAAGGATACATATCTGGATTAAAAGGCTTTCCAGTGACAGCTGATGGAGTTCACTGCCACAGCCATAGCTCCGTTCTCCTCTGCCCCTCCTGGGTCACTTACCAGTCACGGCCGGAGGACCGCCCTCTTGTAGCTCTCTGAGTTCCACAGACGTCTGGAAGAGGCAGGAGAGAGGAAGAGAGAGCTGGGGTGCAGGGACCAATCACTCCAGGCGCAATGACAGAGAGGGTGAGGCCAGCAAAGCAAGTCTTCTAGCTTTGAGCCAAGCCCCCTCTGTGATGTTACTCCTGTTCCCCCTCCACCTACTGCCCCGCCATCAGGGCAGCTACAGGACTTACTAGGGCGCAGGTGCGTGCTTCAGAACTGGGAGCTTGTATTCATTCCAAAGACCAGCATCGGCATCTTTTAACAGAAAAGAGATGCCAAGAACTATCAAACCTCCCCGCCGCCATGCCCTCCACTTCCCTGAACCTGAGCACCATGCTCCCCTCTTCCAGTGGTTGTGCCCTGACTCCCACCCCCTCTCACCGCCTCAGGTACTTCACCCCTGCAACGACCCTCTTTCTCTTCTGCATTACTCTCTTTCTCCCTCTCTGCTGGACCATTCCCGACATCTTGACAAGGAGCTCCACTCTGTCCGGGTGGGAAAGAAGGCAAAAAGCAAAATCCCGCTCTAAATTCATGGTCTCTCTGAATCCTGCCCATTCCTTTGCAACCCTAGCACGGCAAAACTCCTTGAAAGCCTTGCCTCTATTATGTTGCCCCACTTCGTGACGTTTTCATTCCTCTTATTCAACCTCTCTGCAACTTTTTTTTTTCATATTTTATTTATTTGACAGAGAGAGACAGAGCGAGAGCAGGAACACAAGCAGGGGGCGTGGGAGAGGGAGAAGCTGTGGGGCTCGATCCCAGGACCCTGGGATCATGACCTGAGCCGAAGGCAGACGCTTAACGACTGAGCCACCCAGATGCCCCCTCTTTACAACTTTTGACATGGTTGACTACTGCCTCCTCCTTGAAACACTTTCTTCCCCGACATCATTCTTGCCACACTGATTGTTCTGTCTGTTTCCTTCCTGGCTCATCCTCTTCCCAGGCTATCCTTGTTAGGAGTGTCCTAGGGCTCTGTCCTTGGCTCTCTTCTTCCTACATGCTCTCCCTAGGTGTTCTTACCCAGTCCCATGGCTTTAAGTATGATATATATATGTGTGTGTGTAACTATATACATATATACGGTCTATGTATATATATATTTATAGATGTGTACACATTATTCCATATCTACAGGCTTAAACATATACAAGCCTGTGGGTATATACATACATATACGCACACACTGCTAACCCGGGCTTGATCTTATCTGCAGCTCTGACCCCTTGTTCTGAGCTCCAGATACCTGACTATTGAACGTCTCCGTTTGGATGAATAAGAGGTGTCTCACCTTTAACAAAGCCAAAACAGAACCACAGATTCGACGTACCTCTCCAATCTCTTCCTCCCCAAGTTTTCCCCATCTCAGTCAACAGTACCACCCTTTGCCCATTTACTCAGGGGAAGAATCGACAAGTCATCCTTGATGCCTCTCTCTTTAACACTCTACATTCAATCTAATTAGTTCTGTTACCTTTTCCTTCAAAATGTATCCCCAGCATGACCTTTACTCACCCACCTCTACGGCTACAACATGAGTCTGGGCCACTGCAATGCCTGTCTGGACTATTGTAACCACCTTCTAATTGGCTTCTCACCTCCACCCCTGTTCTCCTGCAATCTATTCTCCATGTGGCAGAGAGACCTTTTACTTATTTCTTTATTTTTTAAAGATTTACTTATTTTAGAGAGAGTGTGTGTGGCGGGTGGCAGGGAGCAGAGGGAGAGGGAGAGAGAATCCCAAGCAGAGTCCCCGCTGAGCCGGGAGCCTGACTTAGGGCTCAGTCCCACCACCCCGAGATCATGACCTGAGCCGAAATCAAGAGTTGGACACTTAACTGACTAAGCTACCCAGGCGCCCCCAGAGAGACCTTTTAAAATTGTAAATCAAATGCTATCCCTTCCTGGTCTACAGTTCTCCAAAGGCTTGCTGTTGAAAGTAAGATGAAATCCAAACTCCAGAATCCAAACTCCGGACCATGGCCTACAAGATCCTGTCTGGTCTAGCCCTCTGCCTGCCTCTGACTTCATCTCCCCCTACCCGCTGGCTTTTTTGGGGGGAGGGGTGTCATCCCTTGGATAATCCTAGCTTTTTGTCTCTGTATATGGTACTCTTCTTCTTGGAGCTATTCTCTGTAGACTTTCTAAGAGCTGTCTTCTTCCCAACGTTCAGATTTGAGCCAGATGTTCTTCCTGCCTCAGGTCACTGTGCCTACAGTACCTACTCACCACCCCTCCCACCCAGCCTCCCATCACTCTATCATGTGTTCTGTTTTCTTTAGCATTTATTTGTGCCAGAAGATGTCCTACCCGTAGGTGTTTATTGTCCATCTCTATGCCCTGGACTAGAGCCTAAGCCCTTGAAGGGCAGGGACTTTGTTTTACTCAATGCTATGTTTACAGTGCTTTTCCTGGTAGTTGGCCTGGAGAACATGCTCCACAAGTATTTATTAGCTCACTAATTATCAGGCATTGTGTGATAATGGTGAAGGATCATGTTTTTTTTTTCAATAAACACTGTGCTAGGTGCCAGGACCGTGCAGTATACCAGAGAGGGGCAATGTGTGGCTGATGGGTAAGAGCGCAGGTTCTGGACTCAGACAGCCTGGCAGAATCTGGTTCTGCTAAACTTATTGGCTGTGTGACCTTAGCTAAATGACTCAGCCTCTCTGAACCCCAATTCCTCAACTAGAAAATGAAGATAATCATGCCTATTCTCAAGAGTTCTTATGAGGATTTTGAGATCATTCACACAAAAATGCCTAGCACATAGCTAGCATTCAGTAAACGTTAGCTTGTTTATTATAAGGAACACCTACCGTTTTCAACCATGACAGCACTGTCATTTATTTATTTATAGAGTGAGGGAGGGGCAGAGAGAATCCTAAGCAGGCTCCATGCCCAGTGCAGAGCCCGACGCAGGGCTCGATCTCACAACCGGGATCATGACCAGAGCCAAAATCAAGAGTCGGACGCTTAACCAACTGAGCCACCCAGGCGCCCCAACACGGTCGGTCTTCTTTTCCCTCACATTTGCGAGAGCCATCTTACTTTAATTCCTAAACCTTCACCCCAGTTTTACTTTTAGATTCTTACAATGATGCACAGCACTTTGAGGACCTTTCCGTATCTTATCATTTGATTTCCACTTCTCTGAGGGCTTTAGAGGAGGCAAAAAATGGAGGGAGGGGGAAAATAAATATTGAAAAGCACTGACACCAGGTCCCTCTTTAGCATTGCAGTTATGGTAGGCCATCTATGACACCGACACCGTGACTGCTGCCAAGGTACGTGCTGGGTGTGGGCTCCGGACTTGGCTGGAAGTCAGAGTTCTCTAAGCCTGGGAAAGTGAACCTGACCCACAGGATAGGGATGGGGCAGGAGCCCACCTCCATTCCAGCATTTCTCTCTGGGTACCTCAGTGAGTGCTCCCTTGGCAACCTTTGTTCTTTCTGAAGGTCTGAAGTTCATCATTCCACGGGCATCTCCAGGGCAGGTGGCCCCGCACAGCACACAGTGATCACAAGCTCATTTGATTGGCCCACACACTGTTTCTTAAAAATGTGTTTGAAGA